AGGTTTTGGTCACTTCACATGACCCTGGGACACTGTGACCGTCATAAATATGAATCAGTTGCCAAGCATCTGAATGTAAATCACAAGACCCTGGAGATGCTGCAACATTCCAGCTGATCGGCGCTTCTTCTGGGCTCAGCAGAAGCACCAGGATCAGCGCCGAGCTCCAGCTGGAGCCTGGCGCTGATCCTGGCGCTTCTGCTGAGCCCTGACAGCCCTGAAGAAGTGCCGATCAGCTGGAAAGCGGCACTGATCCTGGCGCTTCCGCTGAGCCCTGACAGCCCTGCAGCTCCAGCCGTCTCTCGCTCAGGCTTGTGTGGTGCTGCCACCGGTTCAGCTCATTCCCTCCCCCGCTACCACTTTTCTAGGATGGTCGTGTACCACCTGCCAGGTGCCAATGTACCACAGGTGGTACCCATACCACTGGTTGAAAAGCCTTGTTCTAAAGCTTCCAATTAATGTGTGTCTTTTTTTTTCTCTTTCCCACCTTCTCTTTTTAAATGAACAGGAGAAAGCTCACCATACTGCTCAGCAGAATATCTTGGATGAAATTGGTAAGTCCCTGTTGGCATCGCAAATTTCATAGATACTCACAGAATCATTGAGCGCGTTTGCATGTCTAGAGAGAGTATCTTTTGCCCATCTTGGCTCCCTCCTATTTTTGGACTATAATACCATCCTCCTCAGCCACTGTGGCTAGAAAACTCAGAATCCAAGACAAGGCGAGAGGTCACTGGAATTGGGGAAAGAGTGATGTTTGCGCTATTTTTCCTGATTTTTCCCGAAGCGTGGGATTTGAACTGCATAGCCAATGGTGGATTATATTATGGGAAACAGCATCTGGTTGGGGAAAAATATTTATGTATTAAACAAATCTCCTACCCTGGATTCAGGAGTAGGTTACTGAAAGAAGGTGTGTTTGTGAGACTTGGCAAGTCTTTAAACACACAGCAAGCATGCATACCTGACCTATCTTATTATTATGATTTATGCAACAATTCTCCCTATAAATGATTACAGGATTAACCAGAATTTAAATCTACCTACAGAGTCAGCTAATTCTGATCTGGTGATATTTTGGCCCTTTCTTAATCTCAAAGCCATTTTCAACAATGGCCTCAGTTCACCACCCTCTAGCTCCATGCCAGCAGCATGTTCCACAATCATTCATTTTTCATTTTGGTTGAACTTTGTCTGCTACTTCCTGGTTTTTCGGCACGTGAAAAAAAAAATGACCATTTGTTTTAAAAAACAGTGTAAACTTTCCCATCATTGTTTGGGACGGGGGTTTTGACTGAAGCTCATAATAGAAGGAATGCATTATTTGTTGGAACAACATAATAGAAAGACCTTGGAAGCAGAGGCACATGTGAACAGACTATAGACAAAAAAAATGGACTGGAATAACAGGGAGTGTCTAGTAACTGGGGATATGGAAGGGAACCAAAGAAAGTATCTCTGGATCAGTTCATCCATTTTCACCAAGCACCTTATGGATGCCCCTTCCATTTTGTGCCCATCTGTGTTACCTTCATACATCTTTTGATGATGGTGGAATTATAGTAGTGGGTAACTGAGCCAGTGATCTGGTGACTAAAGCTGCATTTATTTTATTTGCTGATTAGATGATTATCCCACCTTTATACTCTTTCCTCCTCTTATTTTCCCCATAACAACAATCCTCTGAGGTGGGTTGGGCGGAGAGAGAGGGATGGATCCGAAGTCATCCAGTAAGGCAGGACTAGAACTCACCATCTCCTGGTGATTGACTCAAAGTCACCCAGCCGGCTTTCGTGCCTGAAGTAGGACTAGAACTCGCAGTCTCTGGGTGATTGGCCCAAAGTCGGCCCAGCCAGCTTTCATGCCTAAGGCAGGACTAGAACTTACCATCTCCTGGTTGCTAGTCTGGTGCCTTAAACCACTACACCAAACTGGTGTGAAATGTTTTTGAAAGAGAGGCATGTTTATGGTGCCTGCATGTAAAAAAAATATCCACTTCTTTCTGAGCAGGTTAGCATTTAGGGATAATAATAATAATAATAATAATAATAATAATAATAATAATAATAACAACAACAACAACAACAACAACAACAATAATAATAATAATAAAAAACAACAACAAAACAACAACGACGACGATGATGATGACGATGATGATGATAAAGTTGGAAGGAACCTTGGAGGTCATCTAGTCCAACCCCTTGCTCAGGCAGGAAACCCTATACCATTTCGGATAAATGGCTGTCCAGTCTCTTCTTAAAAACTTCCAGTGTTGGAGAATTCACTGCTTCTGGAGGCAGGTTGTTCCACTGGTTAATTGTTCTCACTGTCAGGAAGTTTCTCCTTAGTTCTAGGTTGCTTCTCTCCTTGGTTAGTCTCCATCCGTTGCTTCTTGTCCTGCCTTCAGGTGCTTTGGAGAATAGCTTGACTCCCTCTTCTTTGGGGCAGCCCCTGAGATACTGGAACACTGCTATCATGTCCCCCCTCGTCCTTCTTTTCGTTAAACTAGACAGACCCAATTCCAGCCGCTGTTCCTTATATGCTTTAGCCTCCAGTCCCCTAATCATCTTTGTTGCTCTTCTCTGTACTTTTTCTAGAGTCTCAACATCTTTTTTACATCGTGGTGATTAAAACTGGATGCAGTATGTAGGGTGTTAACCTGTGGATCTTGTGTTATTGAGATGCTGGAGTGTGAATTAACCTTTTTGGATTGGTTTTCTCTTCCCCCCCCTCCATTGTCCTGCAGAGCAAGCTGTGCAGGAGACTGCTGACACGGAAGTGTATGTGAGGAGACGACCACAGCCGCCTGTTCCCAAGCGACTTCACGAGGAGACTCAGTGGTAAAGAAAATAGGGAGCAGATGAATCGCAGGAAGGATCCCGACAGTTAGAACAATTAGGAAGAGACTGGACAGCCATTTGTCCGAAATGGTATAGGGTTTCCTTCCTGAGCAGGGGGTTGGGCTAGATGACCTCCAAGGTCCCTTCCAACTTTATTATTCTATGTTCTATGTTCTAAATCTAACCGATACCTCATCCCAAGCCAAAAGGGGAGAAACTATGCTATGCCTGATGTATATTTGTTTATATTTCTTTGAAGGCAATGGAACGAAGGTTGCAGGGTGATTTAGTAATAATTCTTGTAGAACTATCTAAATAGATTTTTGAAACAGAAAGCCAGACAGATACGCAATTTTCAAGCCTGTCCAAACTACGGCTTATCCTAAAATAAGAACAATCATGTCTGAGATCTAATTTGGACAACCACATCTTTAAAGATGTAACTGCGGTCAGGTTTTGAGAGATATGTTAGCAGATCAGTTTTAAAATGAAACAGTAAAGGAGAATATTTGTAGTTTCAGGGTTTAAATGAAGGGCCCTTGACACTCTGAGCTTAGTTCTTTTCTTGCAGACATTTCATTACCAAACTAGGTAACATCATCAGTGCTCTGTTCATGATCTAGCATGGATGATGTTACCTAGTTTAGGTAATGAAATGTTTGTAAGAAAACAACCAAGCTCATAGAGCATTAAGGACCCCTCAGTTTTAAAATACTGGTACATTTCTAGACATGGAGCTTTGCATATACTGCCCAGTAAGAATTTCTTGTTTTATTTCCCTTCCTATTTTTCTTTTTCTCTTGCAGATTTGGAACCACTGGCAAATTCTAGACTTAGAGTGCCTGGTGAGTAGATTTTTCTGCCTTTAGTATGATGCTCTCTGATGTCTAATGCATTATTCAAATTTTTAACGTATAAAACCCTCAAGCAGCCATTTTCTCAAAGGTATTTTCCATTATACTTCTCCATGCTTTTTCCTCCCTTCCACTTTCCTTCCTACGAGTTAGTCCTTGACTTAACCCACGTTCGTTTAGCGAGCTTACAACGTTACAAGAGCACAGGAAACAGTGATTTACTTCAGAAATATCTGAAGTTGCTAACATTTCACAAGGCCCCTCAAATTTTGCAAGATTCCACCGCTCTTGCCTCAAAAACAGAAATGGTCAAATTTCATAGGACTTGGTTTAAATTGCAAGAGCGTGGTGGTTTGACACCCCCCCCCCCCAGGCCACCTCATGATCGGTTGACTAACTGCCAAAGTAAAGTAAATATCAGAAAATAGTCCTTTTCTAATCTGGAGACTCTGATTTTAATCAAAGGCAAAGGTCCTCTCTTTATCTATGGAGATTCTCAGTCATCCAGGTCGTGGTTGTCCCAAAGGTGCTTTTTCAATAGGCAACTGGACTTTTCTTGGTTTTGCTTGAAGATATTTCACTTCTCATCCAAAAAGCTTCTTCGATTCTTCAGTTCAGAACTGAAGAAGCTTCTAGGATGAGAAGCGAAACATCTTCAAGGGAAAACAAAGAAAATCTAGTTGCCTATTTTTTATGAAAAAGCAGGGTCCTCTCTTTGGTTTCCAAGGAGAAGACTTCCCAAAGCATAAACAGCAGTGTCTACCAAGCGAAATTATGTGGACAAAGATAATTAACTCATGGCTTATTCTGATTCCAGGCATTTGGGGGCTTTTCCTAAACTACATGATATTATCAAATTTGGGTGGAGAATTTCCGTTGCTAAAGTACCCCATTTGATGACATTTTTGCCACAGTCATTAAGCAAAATCACTGCAGTTAAGTTGTTGTTGTTGTTGTAGTAATAATAATAATAATAATAATAATAATAATAATAATAATAATAATAATAATAATAATAATAAAGTTGGAAGGGACCTTGGAGGTCATCTAGTCCAACCCCCTGCTCAGGCAGGAAACCCTACACCATTTCAGATAAATGGCTGTCCAGTCTCTTCTTAAAAACTTCCAGTGTTGGAGCATTCACTGCTTCTGGAGGCAGGTTGTTCCACTGGTTAATTATTCTCACTGTCAGGAAGTTTCTCCTTAGTTCTAGGTTGTTTCTCTCTTTGGTTGTTGTTGTTGTTATTATTATTTGCAGTGCTTTTTTTGTAAAAAAGAAAAAGGTGCCGGAACTCACACATATCATACAACCCGCCTTGCCTACCCTACAAGGTTCTGTCCAAAAAAGGTGCCGGAACTCCGTTCTGGGCATTCTATGACAAAAAAAAGCCCTGATTATTTGTAAGGGTGAGGACCGGTTAAAAGTCACTTTTTGCAGTGCCATTGTAACCTTACACGGAATGGTTGAAAGTTGTAGACTGCCCATACTTCAGAAGATTTTTTTTTTTAAAAAAAAATACAATATTCAAAAAGATGCTGAGACTCTAGAAAGAGTGCAGAGAAGAGCAACAAAGATGATTAGAGGACTGGAGGCTAAAACATATGAAGAACAGTTGCTGGAATTGGGTATGTCTAGTCTGATGAAAAGGACTAGGGGTGACAGGATAGCAGTGTTCCAATATTTGAGGGGCTGCCACAAAGAAGGGAGGGGTCAACCTATTCTCCAGAGCACCTGAAGGCAGGACAGGAAACAATGGATGGAAACTGATCAAGGAGAAAATATCCTGACAGTTAGAACAATTAATCAGTGGAACAACCTGCCTCCAGAAGTTATGAATGTTCCAACACTGGAAGTTTTTAAGAAAAGAGATTGGACAGCCACTTGTCTGAAATGCTATAGGGTTTCCTGCCTGAGCAGGGGGTCGGACTAGATGACCTCCAAGGTCTCTTCCAACTCTGCTATTCTGTTCAATCCCCAGTGGGTCATTCTCACAAGCTTGACATTTTCTCACTTCCCATTCATTCAATCTCCAACTAATATTCTGCTTGTTCCTTTCCCAGCCGAAGCGGTAGACGTTGACACCTACTTCCTTAGTAGGAAAAAAAAACACAGACTTCCTATTTTTTTTTTTAAGAAAAAAAAAGAGGGAGATTTTTTTTGTCTTCCCCTTCGCACCCGCTGCAAAAAATGTTTTTTTGACACAACTGGTCAACTTTGCTTGGGAGTTTTTTTAAAGCTGATGAATGCTGTGCTCGCCAGTCCTTCAATGCTTTGCTCCTTCTTCTGTTTCCACAGCTGCAGACTGAACGCCTAGGTCCCCCACCCCCAACAGTGCCTCCTGCATCGTGGGGTGCTTCCCCCCCCACCCCCAATAGAAACCCCCCACTTGCATCCCTCTGGCTGTCGCGAGGTTTTTGGAAAAAAGTTCAGAATGGGGAGAACGTGATGGAGGCAGCGATCCTGAGAAGATTTGCATCCAAATTGCACGAGGGCTTTCAGATGTCACTTTCCCCACTCATCCGCACAACCCCCCCCCCCCTTTGAAGCTTCTGTGCAGGGTTTCTGCAGGAGCTGGGCTGGCCTTTTTGCTCTCTCCCTCACCAGCAGTTCCTTGAAAATCCGTTTAGCAGCATTTCCTTCCTGGCCTGATTAAAAGTTGCACACCAAGCAAAGTGCACTGACTCAAGCCTTTTTGCTCAAACCCCTTGAGGCCTTCCTCTGTGTGTGTGTGTGTTGGGGGGGGAGACACACAGAGAAAGGGGAGGGGAATAAGGGAAGGGAGGAAGATGAAGGAAGGAAAGAGAAGGAAGGAAAGAAAAGGAAGGGAGAAAGAAAAGGAAGGACGGACAGAAGGAGAAAGAAAGAAAAAAAGAAAGAAAGAAAAAGAAAGAAAGAATTCTTAAGTTCATGGAAGGGAAAGGGTTAAGGTTAGGGTTGAATTTTAGTTCAAGAAAAAGAGAAGGAAGGAAGGAAAGAAGGAAGGAAAGAAAAAAGACAGATAAGAAAGAAAGAAAGAAAGAAAGAAAGAAAGAAAGAAAGAAAGAAAGAAAGAAAGAAAGAAAGAAAGAAAGAAAGAAAGAAAGAGAAAGAAAGAAAGAAAGAAAGAAAAGAAAGAAATCCTAAGTTCACGGAAGGGAAAGGGTTAGGGTTAGGGTTGAATTTTAGTTCAACAAGAAAAAGAGAAGGAAGGAAAGAAGGAAGAAAAGGAAGAAAAGAAAAAAGACAGATAGAAAAGAAAGAAAGAGAAAGAAGAAAGAAAGAAAGAAAGAAAGAAAGAAAGAAAAAGAAAGAAAGAAAGAAAAAGAATTCCTAAGTTCACGGAAGGGAAAGGGTTAGGGTTAGGGTTGAATTTTAGTTCAACAAGAAAAAGAGAAGGAAGGAAGGAAAGAAGGAAGAAAAGGAAGAAAAGAAAAAAGACATAGGAAAGAAAGAAAAAGAAAGAAAGAAAGAAAGAAAGAAAGAAAGAAAAAGAAAGAAAGAAAGAAAAAGAAAAAGAATTCCTAAGTTCACGGAAGGGAAAGGTGATTGGAGATACGGACAAGGATGGCAGAAGACATTTTGCTGCTGGAGATAGGTGGGTGACGCCCTCTTCCACATTCCAGGTGCAGAATTCCAGCTGGACTGCATTCTTTTTTTCAGCTCTGAGAGGCAGATAGTTCCTGCAACTGTATTTGAAACAAGAGCCTACAAACTGAGTTGCTCAAAATCATGGCCAAAGAATTCAGAGGCTTCCACCGTTGACAAAAATCCTCACCAGTCAATTGCAAAAGGCAGCTTTACATGGAACGGCTTACATCCTGCAACGATTCAGAGATTGGACAGCCATTTGTCCAGAATGATGTAGTAGGGTCTCCTACTTGAGCAGGGGGTTGGACTGGATGGTCTCTTAAGTTCCCTTCCAGCCCTATGCTTCTATATTCTAAGTACGTGATACACCACTGATATATTTAGCTCAACCCATTCCCATGTGGGGGAACTCAGGCCCTCCAGAGAAGATGAATGACAACCTATAGTTAGTTGCCTGGCAGCTGCACTCACATCTGGAATGCCCCAAGTCAGGGAAGGTCAGTTCTGCTAAAGGGCTAAGTTCCTCTCCTTTGCAAAAAACATCATTCTCCTGATTAAAAACCCCAACATTGCTTCATAGGAAACTGCAAAACATTTATCCTTTCCAGCAACATTTCAAAAGCCTTGAAAGATTTCACAAAGGTTGGCAAGTTTAACCCTGATGTCTATCTGAAAATGGTGACATTTGAGCGAAATTGGGGGGGGGGGAATCTTCCCAGATGGTCACAACAATTTTATTTTATTTCATTTTATATTTTATTATTTTATTTTAATTTTTTTGATGCATTCTGTTCACTGTTGCTTCCTGGCCACTGCCTGATCAGGGTCACCAAGGTCACCCAATTGGCTTTGGATATAAGGCAGGACTGGAACTCACAGTCTCCTGGTTTTTAGGCTGGTCCCTTAACCATGCCACCAAATTGGCTTTCAACAATATGAAATTTAAAGATGGAGAAATCGGTGCTATCCTTAACTGGAATCCTAGTCAAAAAAGGTTCCTGATTAAGAGGCTTCCTCTCTCTCCTTCAACACTCTTCCCCCCCCCCCAAAAAAAACCCTCCAATTTTGAATGCTCTACTTATTTCTATGGGTCAGACGAGGATCCATTGACCCTATTTTCAGTAGCTCCAATTTGGCAATCTTAAGCAGGCCACGGGTTCTCCTGTTACTATTCAGCTGGTGAAGAACATTAGTGGAGAGAAGAGAATAATTGGTCCAAAGAAGACTGTGTCCTTAAAAAACTGCCAAGGACAAGACATAATGAGAGACACTTGACTCAAAGTTCCATCCCAAACATGATGTAGGAGATGATCGGGCTGAGCCCGAGGGAGGAGTCAAACGCGTCATCAGTCATGAGTCTCTGCGCACCCACAAGAGATCTAAATCCAGCCCACCCTGAATTCCTTTCTTATTTCCTGCTAATTTCCCTTGACCGTTAGTAGTTCACATTCTCATAGAGAGCTTAAGCCTGCAATAAATCTTTATACTCATTTGAACTGCCTGACTCTCCTGATTTCCCCAGCGCTTGACAAATGCTATACCACAGGGGTCCCCAACCTATGGTCCGCGGCCCAGTATCAGGCCGTAGCCCAGTGATGGCGAACCTTTTAGAGACCGAGTGCCCAAACTGCAACCCAAAACCCACTTATGCATTGTTGGGTGCCGGGTGGGTGTGGCCCATTGGGTGGGTGTGGCTGCAGTGGTAACGGCAGACTGGGTGGGACTAAAAAGTTCAATCAATCAATTCCAACTTTGCGAGATCTTTTTTTTTCCCTGGAGAAGTTGAAATTGATTGATTGATTGAACCTTTTTTTTTTGCACATGGCAGCGGAGGCCTAAAGCGAAAAGCTTTTATAAAACCCAGCTGAAGGCCTAGGACTGGGGTGACGGCGCGCGTGCCCACAGAGAGGGCTCTGAGTGCCGCCTTTGGCACCCGTGCCATAGGTTCGCCACCACTGCCATAGCCTGTTGGCCATCGGGCCACGGGAATAGCTGGCGAGGCCTCTCCCACTTGCAGTAGTGCCGCTGCACGGGGGCTAGCAGCCCTGTTTGCGCATGTGTGGGTGCGTTAGCACCGCCACCAGCGTCACGCGGGCGCTAGCGGCCTGTTTGGGCATGCAGGTAGGCGCCAGCACACCACCGAAGGCACGTGTGGTGTGTTTGTGTGTGCGCGCGCTAGCGCTGCCCCGTGCGCTCATTTCCCTGCTCCTCCCTTTCCTTCCAGGCCACCTAGCTGGAAAAGTTGGGGAGCTCTACTATACCACATGCCTCCTGAAATGTGATTCCAATGCGCAGTCCAGTTCGACCCAAGCAGAACATACTTATGTAAACATACAATATGTAAAGAGGGCTGCCTGCTCTTGGCTGCCCCCCTAATGGCCATTTTTGCTTCTTGCAGCCCCGTCGACGTACAATACGGCGCAATTAAGGAGGAATCCGCGTGTTGGCGGTGCAACGAACGGGACCGCCACGCGTTTTACGCGGAGCTTTTCCACGGGCAGAAGGAAACATTCAGAAAATGCATTTTCATTATCCAGGCCAAGCTAAGAAAGAAAGCGGGGAAAACACACCCTGTGATTTAACTCTCAAGGGAAAATCCCGGTTTAAGCCCTCCCAGCCCCGGATTTTGAAAAGGGGGGGGGATCAAGACGCCTCCTCTCCCCTCAAACCTCCCCAAACGCGCTTCCAAGGCCGGGCTCTTGGCGCTTGCAGCCGGAGACCCTCAGAGCTCCGAGGACGACCCCCGAGCTTTCCCCGGGCCCCGCTTGGCGTGGAAGCTTTTCGGCGTGGATCTGCCAGCCGCGAGTGGGATGAGCTGGCCGGAGGCGGAGGCGGAGCGGAGGCGGGCAGGGCGCGCACTGGAAGCCCGAGCGAGATGCGCCCCGGGACGCCTGGACGCCCTTCCTTGCTCCGTGGAGGTTGGAGACGGTTCTTCTTTCATTGACTGCCGCGCTTTCCCTCTCTCTCTTTTTTTTACTTTCGAAAAAGAAAGGAAAGGTAAGAAGGAGGGAAATGGAAAGGATGGAGGGAGGGAGGGAGGGAGGGAGGAGAAGGGAAGAAGGAAGGGAGGAAGAGTGAAAGGAAAGGAAGGAGAAATAGGGAAGGAGAGGAGAGGAAAGGAAAGAGGAAGAGGGAAGGAAAGGAAGGAGGAAGAGGGAAGGAGAGGAGAGGAAAGGAAAGGAAAGAGGGAAGGAGAGGAGAGGAGAGGAAAGGAAAGAAGGAAGAGGGAAGGAGAGGAAAGGAAAGAGGAAGAGGGAAGGANAAGGAGGAAGAGGGAAGGAGAGGAAAGGAAGGAGGAAGAGGGAAGGAGAGGAGAGGAAAGGAAAGAGGAAGAGGGAAGGAAAGGAAGGAGGAAGAGGGAAGGAGAGGAGAGGAAAGGAAAGAGGGAAGGAGAGGAGAGGAGAGGAAAGGAAAGAAGGAAGAGGGAAGGAGAGGAAAGGAAAGAGGAAGAGGGAAGGAGAGGAAAGGAAAGAGGAAGAGGGAAGGAAAGGAAAGAGGAAGAGGGAAGGAAAGGAAGGAGGAAGAGGGAAGGAAAGGAAGGAGGAAGAGGGAAGGAGAGGAAAGGAAGGAGGAAGAGGGAAGGAGAGGAAAGGAAAGAGGGAAGGAGAGGAGAGGAAAGAAGGAAGAGGGAAGGAGAGGGAAGGAAAGAGGAAGAGGGAAGGAAAGGAAGGAGGAAGAGGGAAGGAGAGGAAAGGAAGGAGGAAGAGGGAAGGAGAGGAAAGGAAAGAGGGAAGGAGAGGAGAGGAAAGGAAAGGAAGCACCTTCCTTTTTTTTTCCTTCCACGTTTCCTC